ATAATGTATCCTAGCAAATCATGAAGTCACCATGAGGGTGACATTTGTGGTATGGAATTTCAATTTCATGCTAATTAGACAATGTTAGCACACAAAGTACTTAACAATAAAGAAAAATAGACATTTAATGAATATATAAACAGGGATAGAATTCCATAACAAATTTTAAATAAGATACAAAATGAAACATACTTATAAACTGCATATACAAACTGCATTAATGATTCAAATGGTAAAAATACTTGTATCTACCTTAATGTGTATGTCAACAAATTGCATTTGTTAGATGCTGATTGGAGTAAGTGAAAATGCATATTTCTCAATTGTTTATTTGTTGAAGGTCCGTGAAAAGAATTGTAATGTCATGAAGTGTTATAGTCGTCGTCTGATAAAACCATATATAGCAATTTGTTCTTAATAACTAAAGATGCTCTATAAATATGATGATTAGGAACATTTTGAGTGTTCATAAGTTAAGTGAAATGGCAGCATTTTTAAATCTTGGAAGTAAAAACAAAATGCTCACTCTCAGTCCCTTGTTTTGTCTGCCATCACAAATTGTTGTGTTCCACAAGATGTGTAAAGTGCTCTCATTCAAAAGAATATTTCAAGTTTAGACTGCTGAAAATTGCATTCAGATTACACAGCAGGTAGAGGTATTGTTCACTGTGCTATTTTGATATGTACTGTAAGTGCCACGTAATGATTGTACTGCCTGTTCTCTTTTGATTTGGAGGAAAATTTCACTTCAAGCGACATAAGATACAAAAATCCACCCAAACACAGGCTCAGAACCACCTGAAAGACTGAATAGGGTTTTCTTGTTTGACACTTTCCATATTACTTTTTGTCGAGATTTTAGAGATTGTCATTCTTTTCATCGTCCATATTTGCATATTCCTATTCAGAGTCGTGGGGAGCTGGACCCAGCATGCATTGAGGAGACGACAGGGAAACACTTGCCTGCAGGGGAAACTAAAAACAAACACGTAGGCCCACAAACCTTTGTGCAACTTAGGGCCTCAAAGTCAACAGTATTTGCATCTTTAAACTGCTGAAAGTCAGTTGAACACACAAAGGAATGCCATGTGAGCACATGGACAACATGCAAGTTTCACATACAATGGGCCAGATCCAAGAGTGTTTTACAGTGCAGACCTGAGCAAGCCAAGACAACGTAGACATTTATGAAGCATTTCAGACAAGTTAAAGGGCTTATCTAAATGAAATAGTAATTGAATCATTAATAATTCATGACCATTTCTCCATTTAGGCACATGCCATGACAATTTGCTGGATGTAACATCTCTGTCTGAAAGTGCTCGCAGGAAGAAGCTGTTTTCAGTTCCATTTTTATGTACATTGTTATACTTCTGTTTTGTAATTCAAGTGATCTCTCACACAGCAGCGGCGGTGTAATTTAATGGAGAAAATGCAATTCTGGACGAGATGGTGTAGATACTGATGAAAGAAACAATAATATGTATTGCCATTTCTTTCATCATAATCTCTTTTAAAAAAAAATCCATTTCAATTAAGAAGACATGTCTGTCTTACTACTGGAGGAATCCCTTCATGCTGCTGTCTGTCTTACCTGATAATACAAAAACAACATTAGAATTGAACTGGCCTACACAATTCATTTTTATGTGTATATGTAGGCTTATCTGTGTTTTATGGGGGAGAAACAGATAACGTGCAGCACCATCAGACTTGTAGTTGAAGATAGATGTCCATGAAAACTCACACTATCAGGGCAACAATCATTATATCTCCTCTGTCCCCTCTCCACTGGCACACAGTGGACCTTTCGTAATGTCCGCTGACCCACACAGGACTCTGCTGTGTCTAAATTCCAGTCTTGGGAACTTTTCAAGGAGGTGCGTTTGAGTTCCAGGAGAGTATGAGAGGATCCAATTCGCCTCACGATTGCGACTAGTTTATAGTTTATATTTGCAAAAACCTAGATAAATAATTAACTGAAGATGCTTGTTTTCAATTAGGGGTAACACTTTCACCGTGGAATGGTGCTACATGGATATCAATGCATCCAAAAAGTCACCGGCCACCTTCTAAATCTGTATCGCACCCCCACTCCCCCCTGCTCTCCCACCGTTAAGACCATCTGAATCCCTGATGACTGGTCTGTTTTTAGCCAAGCTGGATGGTGGCCTGGCACGGTGTGCGGGGGAGGCCGGACCAGTGGGGTTGTCCTGGTGCAGTCTGTCCTCTGCTGTACGCTGGACTCCTGGCCATCCCATTTTAATCAGATTTGCCGCAGCAACCATATGTCCGAGCAGCATGATAAACCCCGGCTGCTACCTGGCACCCACAGGACGCACTGTCAACACAGTGTGTGTGTGTGTGTGTGTCTGCATGGGTGTGTGTATTTCACACGTCGTTCCTCCAGAGACATTCCTTCAAAGTTCTGTTGAGACATCGAAAATGTAACGGGCATAAATACTACAGGTGTTTTTTTGTTTTTTTTTTGGGGGGGGGGGGGGTGTTTTTAATTTTCTTGAACATGTTCTGAGTAAAAAAAGCCTGAATGAAGAAAAGGGCATGAGAGGTAACCCTGAAGGAGGAGGAAGTCATTTCTGGGCCAAGTGATCATTTGCCACAGTGTTTTGGAAATACATGGGGCTATGTACGTCACTGCAACAGGAGAACTGGCACTATGGACCCGCATTTTAAAAAAAAAGGATCATTCCTGTTTCCATCTGTCACCTTATGCTTAACAGCACATTAAATATTTTATATTTTCAGATCCCAAGGTGTCACATATTTTAGACACTGTTTGTATCACATTGTTTAACAGCATTGCTGAGAATCTAGCCCTTGTGTTAGCACTGGTGACACGGATAGGATACAAAGTGATACGAAGACTGACTGAATATCATTTCTTATCTGAAGCTTCGATTCAATTCCACAAAAAATGTATTCCACAATCCATAATTCATAACCGAATCTCGCAAGAGGCAACACCAACACTTGTCAAACATGATTAACTACGTCTGTATCTTACACAAATTTAATTCCTCTCTGTGGCTCCGCCTGTAAATCAGCGTAGGCTACAATCATTAGTGAGCCTGCTCACAAGATTTGTGACTGAGGTTTTTCAGGTGGCACAAGGCAAGATTATTGTGTAAAAAAAAAAAGTTTCTGGGATTCAAACAAATTTCCTTCCTTTGATTGAAAAAGAAAACTGTCCTGAAGAGTTCACATGCTTTTCTTATAATGAGGGCAGATGTTGTTATTGCCATCAGCTGTCTGCAAAAAAACAAAAGAAAAACACGATGCATCTCCCTCACACAGCAGTGTACATCATACACATCACAGTAATCACTATGGACAGGTATCAAGAAATAAACATACTGGCATTTAGATCAATATAATGTTATGTATTAGTATGTTTTATTATCTATTCCAATGATTCTGTAAGAAAAATAAATACATCATAGACCCAATGTAACTTTCAATGCAATTATGCTTTATTATGAACTTAAAAAGTTCCTTTAGCTGCAAGAATTACATCAACTAAGGTCTGTTATGGATAAAAGTGAGCTTAACACCATGCAATGCATTCAAATCTTGAGTCTTAAGATAGTTTTAAATGCAGGAAGATAAGTTATAGTGACAAACTAACTGATAAAGCTGCCATTATATCAAAAATGTCAGACAGTGTGACAAGAAACCTCACATTGTGTAAATAATAAAAATACATCCAAGTGCATCATTTATGGTAATAAGCAGAACTAACACGTATAACATTCTTTTCAACAAAAGCCATCAAGTCACATCAACGTTCTCAGATGACATTATAGCTGCTCAATCATGCAAGGTAGACTCTTCTCCTCACTGCCCACCCTCCCATGTGTGCCCCTTCCGGGCCGCTCAACCCCCTCCCACCCATCCTCACACTGACATACATCTGAAGCAGGACCCTGCACCTTTTGTCTTGGGCTCCGTCTTTGTTAGCAGCTGGTGGACAGAGCAGCAGCCTGCAGCAGTAGCAGCAGCAGCATCAAGTCTACTTTACAGAGTAATGACAACACACTGCAACAAATCAGCCATTTTTATTTTCATTTTCTGAATGAGGGACAGAATAAATTAACACACATATCAAATGTATTGTTTTGATTTTATTTGAATGAAGACAATAAACCTTCAGGGGAGTGTGACAATGATAATTAGATGGAGGCAGTGTTGAATGGGAGTTCATATATATTTATTTTATTATGAATGTAGTTTGATAATATACATTTTATAAAATTGAGATGTGTATCAACACTGTAATATCAAATATATCTGTCTGTCTGTCTGTCTAGTTCTCTAATTATCTAGTTGTCTATCTGTCTGGTCGAAGTGTGAAGCAGCATCACCACCACCAAAGTGAACTGCAGATAACCCCATGACGTGGCAGACACAGTATGGAAAGCCTATATAAAAATGGTCAGAGCCCGCATGTATCTGGTGGTGGTCTGAGCCGCTGATAAGGCTTTGCGCGCTATCTGACTTCAGTCTAGATGAAGGATGAGCTTCTCAGACATAGACGTTGTCCATCCTGCTGATGCTCCCTCGTCTCATCGTAAACTCTTGTGCACCCTCTGGTGCTTGCTAGTCTCCCAAACTTCTTTGTGTAGCCTGCTTTGCAGATTGTCTTCCTTGTCTGTGTGGTTGCTCATTATTCAGAGACAGACGGATCTCAGGTCATCTGCAGCTGCAGCAAAGGAGAAGCAGGAAAGATGGCGATCATCCATTAGACCGACCGGGCGCACGCATGAAATACGAGGACAACTTTTGGGAGGATCGCTTGAGGAGAAGATTGTACCAGTGAGTTTTTTCCCCTCTTGCACTATATTTCCAGTTTCGCCAAGATTTCGGCTGGGCTTTCAGGTTCTGCGAGAACGTCGGTATGGTAGATCATGGGATATAATTTGGAGAGCGCCTCGTGAATGACCTGGAAAGAGCTGATCTCCCCCCCCCCTCCTCCTCCACCACCACCTTTTCTCCTTTTAGTCCAGGTCCAGCCGACTTGGGTGAGGAAGCCGGGGCGAGATTTTAGTCGGGTGGGCGCTCCGGCTGGCACCCATGTAGCCAAAGTCAAGTGGGTCTTCTCGCTTCCCAGTTAAATATCCTAGCCAACCTACACCGCTTCCTCGCCATGTCGCCTTTCGGTTTGTTGTCAAAGTGACACAAGGAAATGGACGCGGCGGTGTAAAGAGAGGGTCGCCTGCGTGTTTCAGCAGCGCCGGAGCGGAGTGTTTTGTTATTCTGACATGTCTGGTCAGGGGAATTATTGGCCCCGGCTGTGCGTCCCCCTCTCCGGCCGTGCGTGTTGTTGCGCGTTAGCTTCACGGAGAAGCCATTGCACGGATTGCTCTCCTCTCCCCAACCAGCCTCCATTAGCGACACAGAGGAGCTGGCATAGCCGCTGGTCCAGTCACACACACGCACGCACACACACACACTCTCACACACACTATGAAAGCCATGTCCAGTGTGAGGAAGCTATATGTGCTCTCTCCCCCCCCCCCCTCCCCTGCTCCTCTCAATTTAGAAAAAAAGAAAAGAGAAACCTTATCTGGTGGCGATTTTGAGTCGGGTCTCCACAGGGTTGGAGCTTGATGGTGGTTGAAATGGTGGCTTTATATATTTTGATTCTGATGTTTTGTTTTTGCTCTCATTGCTACACTGTTACCCGCTTGTCCCCTGCACTGTTTGGATGCCTATTTGCTGTCACTGGTCTCAAGTCAGGTATGTCATGCTAGTGGGGCTTCAACCATAAAATGGAGGAAAGCAGATGAGTCTCCAAGGAGAGCCCTGGAGTCAGACAGGCAGGATCCCTCACGCCAGAACAAAGGTTGTGTTCATAAATGACATGGCCACAGCCTCTCCTCCTCCTCCTCCTTCTCCTCCTTCCTCTTCTTCTTCTTTTTCTGCTTTTTTCTGCTCGGAAGTTGAGTCTGCTACAGGAAGCAGAAGACTTCTGATAAGTGAGGTTAGATCCTTTAGTGGAGCTCTCAAGGTTAACTTCAGGAACTTGCTGCTTTTTCTAAATTTGTGCATGATTTAACACAATGTGAACTGTAAATATGTGGGATTTCTTTTGGGTTTGTTGCTGTTGTAGGATCTGCAGATGGCACTTTTGGACTATGTGTGTGTGATTGTGATGGATGAGGGACACGTGGATGGGATGGGAATTTAAATGCTGAATAATGCAGTGTTTTGGCCATGCAGGTAGTTAATGTTCAACAAAGTAGTCTCGACCCTCTCTCTGTCTTCTCTGTGTGTGTGTGAGAGAGTGAAGTAATCGCTGCAGATAGTTTCTTAAAGGAAGTTCTCAAGATGATTCTCGTTTCTGTTTTTTGGATGAGTTTTTGGGGAAATTAGAGTTCAGCGGCTGTTATCTACACAAGTTAAGTGTTTATAGTCTTACTCATGATTTGTAGACTAATTATTCACACAGGAGCTGGAGGACTCTGCTGTTTGTTGGGATGTTATTGTGAGCTTGTACCGATTTGTTTGCTTGCTTCAGGTATATTGAGATACTTTAAAAGCTATTTTCGGACAAATACATTTTGATATTTCAATACGGTAACATGCCCTATGTTTTTAACGCAGCCTATGTCCACTGTACAGCCTGAGGTGACTTTTCACATATTATGTCCTAAAGGTGTCTGTTGACCAGCCTGTCAGGAGAGTGAAGGAGGTGTGTTTGCAAGATGTAGTGTGTTCCTGTGGCAGTTACTGTGTGTGTGTGTGTGTGTGTGTGTGCGCGCGCGTGTGTGCGCGTGTGTGTGTGTGGCTGTGCTACGCTCTGCAGTTCCCCCGGCCACTGTGTGAAATCTTGCTGACAAGGAGACTGTGAGCTTGACACAGTGTGCTGCGACAATGCTGGGGCTGAGAAGAGCAATCAAAATGGTGGCGATGCTCCTTCTCCCTGGCGTGGCAGGGCAAACAGGTTCTCAAGGAGGAGCCGATAGAGGACGGGCGGGCAGGACCTGCTGCGGTCGACACTTTTGTCACACAGACGGGTGCAATGGATACAGTCTGGTGGACGGTGGATGTTTCTGTAAATGAGCCGAGTGATTAAACTCTGGATGCGGTCGTGATGTTTCTTTCCACACAGATTGTCTCGGGGATACTGACACGGTACGCTGTCCTCTGTGCATTTAGAGTTCCCGTAGTAACTTTCACAAGCCTTCAACACATTCTTGACCCTTTCTCAATTGCAAAGCTGATAATGGTGGCTGCTGCTGCTGCTGCTAAGCTAATCTGTGTGCTCAGGTTTTCAGTTCAACTCACCAGCTAAGGTCGTGTGGGTCATGCAGGGCTGTTTGCTTCTGCTGTAGCAGAGAAGGTCTTTCTAGTTGTATAGTGTAGTGTTGTACAGTAAGCCAAGGCTGGATTACTAACAGGGCATAGTAGGGAACTACACAGGGGCCCCAGACACTCAGAGGCCCCCTGAAGTCCCCAGGTTGTCTTTGTGGCAATTACTTTGTTGTAATTAGATCAATTACACATTTTTCTGGTAATACACACCACTAAAGTATTAAAAAAGATTAAAAGCATAGAGCCCTAAGGTGGCTCCTGCATTCATGATCAGATCTTGAACCCCCGTCTTATAGATGGCCTGTCTCTGAAGTGTACAGCCTAAATGATTAGTCGATTATTCCATTAAGGATTTGCTGCTTCTCTCTGTTTTACATTATTTTAAAATATTATAATTGTGAACCATTGCTTTGTCATAATGTTATGTTGGTAAATGAATATGTTTGGATTTTTGGACCTGTTTTCAGGTGAAACAAGACATTTGAAAATGTGACCTTGGGATTTGGAAAATTGGCAAAAGGATTATCCAAGAAAATAATCATAAGTTGCAGCCCTACTAAATTGGAAATTAATATCTCAAGTATTTCAGTTGATAAACAAGGGAGTGTTTGATCAGTTTAATCTAACTGGCATAAAGCCAACATAGGGCTTGGCTTTCCAGAGAAATACTGGTTGATTTCTTGAACTTTAGGCAAAATGCATTGCTTCTTCCATCATCTTTATATTTCTAAAGCTGCTGTAATTAAACATACTCTATTCATAATATATTTACAGAGCATCGGGTTATTAAATTGACCGTTGTAGCTTCAATTGTAGTTTCATGGTCCAAATTGGTGACTGACTGAATATTTGTATCATATCTGAAGTACTGCAAAGGCAAATCCAAATCAAAGTGGTTTACTTTTACCTCCACATAACATATTTCAGTGACATTTTTTACTGCAGTTCAGCTTCAAAGTGACAAGGCAGAACTGAACTATAGATACTTTTAGAGAAAAATTGACACAACCGGATTTTTGCAAGGTATTTCAGGATTACGCTTAAAAAGCTCGACAGAGAGGACAGAGGATTAAACAAGACTTCTGTGATGGTTTGAACGCTGGAAGGAAGTGGTTGTGAAGCTCATCACTCACTCAGATACTCTTTCTGTGTCTGTTGCATACACACGCACACACCCCTCCCTCTCCCCCACTCACTCGCTCACATTGGGCGATGCACTCCTCCATTCTTCTCTACCTGGGGCAGTGAAGAAGGCCAGGGAGACGCACAAAAGCAAATTGAAATGCTCCAGTGAGTGCTTTCTTGACATGATGCATGGCTCATGAGATGCAGCCGGGCCCTGCTGCTACACTTGTAAAGTGTGCTGAAACACACAGGCCCCACATCCAAAACACTATATAGTCATTACAGCACAGCTAAAACCTCACCACTTTCTGCTTGCATTTGACCGACCTTCTACACTCCATAAACATATTTCGTTCATGATTTAGAGATTTGCTTTAGATGTGAAAGCACAACATTGTTACAGTACAAAACCCGCCAGGATCCTCTGAATTATTTAATGCTGTGTAACTAGGTATAGGCCTATTTGAAAAAGCAACATGGTGCCGGGGTTTAAATGGAACAAGGAAGTGGCTCGCTGGTGGTGTCATTCCAGTAGCCGTTGTCAGTTGCCACGTTACACTGCTGCAGAACTGGTTCCTCCTCTCTGCTTTCCATCAGAACATCAACAGTTCAACATCACCTTCCCCCTCCTGGAAATACATGCTTGTAGCTCAGCACAGCTCACAGTTTTGTCTTATATAGGGGGCTAGTTTTGACAGAAAATGAAGACTTCAGGTATAAAGTGGCCGAGGTGATGAGAGAGTTTGTCCGGTGAGATAAATTAAGCCGTCGAAGCGGCACACTCAGGTTTCCAGCCTGAATTCAGGATTCATGCCCTTCTCTTAAAAGACACAGTGAACCAACTCTGTCAGCCTCGATCTGCCTGTGGTGGGAAAAAAAATCCTGAATTCTTTGGAGACGCCCGTTCCTTGGGCAGTGTGGTGCCACCAGACAAGGCCTTCATTGAGCAGGAACAGGAGTGGTCTTGTAGAAGGGATCCACACTGGCTCGGCCTACGAAGCAACAGAGCTGTCCAAGGACGATTAAATATTTAGGAGCTTGGAAAGGAGGTCTCAGTGGTAAGTTAATATTGATGGGTCTCTCATCTTTCCCTTCTCAAACTTGTTGAGCTGCCTCAAGAGGTCAGTTTGGCGAACCTGGAGAGGAACCTCACCTCTTCCCTTCTTAGATAAATGTACCAGTAGCTTTAAAATAGTTCCTCCAACGTTCCTGTGAGCAAACCAGACTGAATTTGACTTTTCTGCCTTTTTAAAAATTGTTTCCTGTGTCCTCTTTTGGTCACTCTGAAGTACTCCATCCTGACTAGCTTGTAACATCACCCACTCCCTGTAACTGTAGTAACTGCCATGTCAGGCTTATAAGGAAGTCAGCATTGCAGTGTTTTCTGGCAGTTGTCCACTGAGCACCACTTACAAGAAACCCTTCAGTGCATCTCACAGCCTTCTCTCTTATTTTGGTGAATTGGTGGAATTGAACACTGCATGCATATTTATGGATTAAAAGAAAACAATGAGGCAAGAGCATTCGGTGGAAGATGGTTTTCCTCATTGTGAGACAGAAGACATAGTCGCAGCATACAAATAATACAATTTACTGGGTTGTAGTTTGGTTTAAGAGCTGACCTTTGTCTGAGATGATACAGAAGTCTTTGAGATAGCAGCAGATTGATTCATGTCAGGAAATGGTTTCCGAGGACAGACGGACTACAAGGCTGTGTGGAATGTAAGGTTTCCTGGAGTGATTGTCTTTGTGAAAAAACACTTCCTGGTTTCTCTCCAAGATCGGTCCTTGGACATCCTTCACTTGCCCGGCTCCTCGGCGGTTGTTTATTTAGCCCATGATCTTGTGCGTTTCAGTTTGAGGACATCTGAATAAAGCATGCTTTCAGCCCCATAGCTGTGACTGAGAACATTTAGGGTTTATGTATTGTGTGTGAAGCAGCAGATAAATTAGGTTTTGCTTGTTTTTTTCTCGCTGTAGCCTACTTGTGTACAGTACTTGATGGAGTTCGTTTTTCTGAGAATTTTTCTTTTCAAGCTCGAGGGAAGAAACCTCTTGAGAAAACCAAATATATCTACCTATTCCTCCCAATATAAAACTGTAAAAATAATCACGCCTAAGGCTATTAATTAAATTGTGCACTTAATCATTTTTGGATGGAATATTTAATCATGTTGCTAAGGGGTTGCCCCAAGTTTTATCTTTTATGCTTTTCAGTCTAGAAAAACATATTTGTACCTCTCTAATAGAAGCACTAAAACATGTTTGCTGTAGAACCTGTTGGGTCACCTGGGTTTGATGTTATCTACAGAAGCTTACACATATCTCCTGAAATGTTGGTATGCAAGCTCCGTATTTAGATGCACAGTCCTCAGATGTCTCTAGGTCGTCGTCTTTTTCAGCGAACAAAAAAAAACCACACACATCTCACTTCTGCTTTTGCTGACTGCCATGACAGTCAGCAGAGGAACAGACAGGAGGGGAAGCTGCTCGCTCAGGTCTGTGCTCTTAAAGCTAAACACTACCATCTGTGTAACGAGATAGCAGAGCGAGCAGAGGCAGCAGCTCCACTCAGCTGAGCAGGACAGTCAAGTCAAAGACCTTGAGGAGCACAAAATGGTGGACGGCCATGCCACTGATACTCCAGCGTGATTGGCAGTGTCTCCTTGGCCACAGTGGGGCAGGCTGCGTGAAATGGAGTCCTCTGTGTGGAGCCTTGGCCCAGCCTCAGCTCTGATGCAGAAGATAATTCTGTCATCCCCGAGAGAGAGAGAGAGTGAGAGAGTGAGAGAGCAAGCCAAGAGAGGTGACTGTACTAAAAGAAGGTTGAGCTTCCAGATAACTCGGACCATGCTCGTCTGGTTGCTTCCACCTATTATCCTCACTCTACTACTTGATTTCCTGGGTTCTGACTTCTGCTTTTAACTGCATTTTTTAAATATTTGGTGCTTTTGCATTGAACAAACATGCAGTGGCTAGAAAAGCAAGATTAGCTTTGATGAAAAGATGCATTTTTTGGTTTGGTAACAGGAATGAAGAGAGCGACTATGTGAGGGTATTCATTATCTAACCTTCACACCGAGCAGGCTTTAGCTGCGGGATTTACCAGCCCTCTGTTTTTGTTGCTTTGTGAACATTTCAGGCTTGAAGGTCACATAAATATCCCTGAAGGCTCATGATTAAAGGTAAATGCAGAAGATGTAACAGACTGTAAGCGGGTACATTTTGAATGGAGTAGTGTTTCTTTTTTTTTATGGCAAATTTTTAACATGACAACCTGAATACAGGAGCCACACGGAAGATGGGCATTAATGCTCGTCTCCTCTTAATCTGCTTGGTCATTATCTTCTCTGCAAAAGAGGGCAACTGCTACTACTGAGTGCTCTGTGTTGCAGTCGTCCCCTTTTTCAGATGGAACAGTCTCAGCCCTTTGCTAAACACAAAGGCTACCCTTGGAGCAAGGTTACTTGTACCATGATGGCCAGCTTCTTTCTTCTTCTTTTTTTGGGGAGCAGCTTTAGTTGTTACTATTTTGCAAATTAGCAAATCGGATTGCTTTGATTGAGAAAGGAAATGTCTTGTTTTGCAGAGACAGAATTTGAAGAGGAAAATGAGTGCAGCGATATTAAGTATTAAAGGCCGTCTGACTGGATGGGTGATGTCAAGTAACCATCTGCCAGAGAGGGACGGACTGA